AGTTTTTTCTATCTAGAAGATATTATCACAGATGCTTGGTTTTACAGTTCTCAGAACTGTGAATTTGTGTCTGCAGAGATCACATGCCTCCTCAGCAAAAATGTTATAAAATAAGCATAAAAAGCTGAGAAAAAGGCCTTAAGCCCATTGTTCCTTTGCAAATCTATGTACACAGAATCAATCCCTTAAGTGCTAAATTTCAAAACATTCAATGAATAGAAGATTGTTGGGAGTAGAACAGATCTGCACAAGAAGCTAAGTGTGAGGAGAAACAGGCACGCAGTAAAAATGAAAAGTGACACCTTTTGAACAGAATACTCCGCAAGTCTTTGGATCTTTGTGTGTATAGCCTGAGGTTTTCCCTGGAGGAGAAAACCTATAATGGCAGCAGGCCGTAAAAGAGACCCCGTTTGGGAATATTTTAATGACGTTACTCTACCTATGCGTAAAGACGGGCATGCGTGCAAAATGCAAACACTGCAACAAAGAAATGTGTTTCATTTGGTGGCCCAAATGAAATAACATCATGAGAAGTGCTGTGATGAAGACAAACAAAAGGAACATGTTCGGACTGGCAGCATCTTCAGGTTGGTAAACATTTTGATTTCATCATCTATCTTAAAGACAGCCTCGAGAAACTGTCATGTTTGAGCAAAATTAGATTTCTTATTATTACTGCATGTTACTGTCATTTTGATAAAGTTATGAAGAAACAAAGAGTTGAAACAAGCAGATATTCCTTTTTTGGGCACTACTGAGTGGCAGTGAATACAATGAGTAATACTAAATAAGCAGAAATGGTATAAATCAGGGGTGTCGAACTCATTTATTATGAGGGTCGGATCTGAAATAAATGAGACCTTGTTGAGCCGGGCCATGTGTGTCATAAAATGTAATGCCAGGGAGCAGAGATATAAACTGTATAAAGGACACAAACGCAAAGGTGGGTTTTTTTACTTAAAAACATGCTTAAAACATTAGCACTCTGGCAATATTTTGTTTATTTAACAGTGTCTGATACCTCTTGCTCTGAATTATTGCACCAAAGTGCTGTTGCAATCTTGAGTATGCTGTTCAGGTGTGTATCTGTAAGCTGCAAACCTACGATGACGCAGCAGCAGCAGAACTGGAAGCAGAAGCAGAAGACAGTGGGCCTGATAGAAGCCCTCCGGGGGCCTCATCCGGCCCCCGGGTCGCATGTTTGACACCCCTGTCCTAGAACTTATTAAAAGAGACTATGTGGCTCTGGTTAAAAAGGTGAAGGACCTGGGAGCACAGGTTGTGTTTTCGTCAGTTCTTCCTGTCGAAGGCTGTGGCTTAGGAAGGGAAAGAAGAATACTGCAAATAAATGACTGGCTATGTAGATGGTGTCATCAGGAAAGGTTTGGATTTTTGGACCATGGCTTACACTTTCAACATGAAGCTCTTCTATCGGGAGGTGGTTTGCACCACACAGGGGTAGGAAAAACGTGTTTGGCAAGAACCTTGCAAACCTAATAAGGAGGGCTTTAAATTAAATCATACGGGGAAGTGAGTCAAAAACTCAAAGCCTAGTAATGATGCCAATAACTGGTGATATGAACCCTAAAGTTTTGTGGAGAATGGCTCATATTGCGGTCTTAGCTTGTATATCTGCTATTGAAGACATGTGCAGTGGCACGGAGGCACTGGCGGGCCCAGACAAGGCAGCGAGCAGCAAGAGTGCCAGGCAGCTGAATCACAGCAGGTTGTCCCTTACCTGGGTGCGTCAAGGACAGGAGGTAAGAATGTGCCATCACACCCAGTTTCTACCAAAGTCAGGTCTGACCTGGTATGATCTGTGTAGGACTGGGAGACAAGGCCTAGGCCCAGGAGACCTGTGCGGAAGTGGAAAGCAGACAGCCTACAGTCCCCACAATGCTTGGTGCCAGTTGTAACCAATCGGTGTCCAGAGATTGTATGAGGGGATTGTTACTTAAACAGTGGGCTGTGGAACTGCGTTCTTTTTCTCTCACAGAGTTAAGCTGAGAGGACAGTCTGGTCTGAGAGAAAGATCCCTCACTTGGGACAGAGTGAGTACAGGCACAGGCCTCATCATCACGCCTATATTTCTCAGCTTAAAAGGGGCATTTTTGGCTGGGCTTGGGAGGGTCCAGAGTTGTGGCAGAGGAAGGTGGCAAGCCACGGGGTAGCATGACACCTGGGTACATAGTTGCTGATTCAGCAGCTCAGGAGTTCCGCTACACATTGGCTGATTCTACATTGGCTTTTCCCTCCGTTGTTTTAGCAAAACCATGTTGGCACAGAAATTCCCCTCGGCACTGCATGCTGCTTTCACTTCCTTTGATCATTGGATTTTATGGCAGCCTCCACACTCCATGCCGCTTTTGCTTCTTTTATTCATTGGGTTTTCTGGTACCTTCTGCAAAGATTTATGGCTGTTTTTATGGCTGTTCAGCGGTGACTCTGCAGTCAGTACGGTGTTGGCCCCGGGGTATCTGAATGTGGTTTTGAGCTGCACTTTTTCCTCCCAGTTGAGAAAATGTGGAGCGAATGCTAGGTCCTTTCTGCATTTGCCTGCCACTCCAGATTTTCTTTGTCTCCGAGTCGAGGCAATTTAAGTCCACGGCAAAGCAGCATCCAAATAACCCAGGGCAACAGCAGGCTGAAACCGGGCAGGCCACTGAAGCAGAATAAAAAGAAGGCTGAACTCGATTTTAGTGCAGAATGTGGGTTAAAAAGGTTGAATTTGATTTTAGTGCAGAATTGCTTTAAGGACACCGTAGTGAACATGGATTAAAAGGAAAGTGCAGAAAGGGGCCTACATGCAGAATTGCCCTTTCTCTCCATATACGGCACAATTCTTTCTATTAAAAAGGGACCACAGGTGGCTTCCACAGGGCAAAACTACAGAAACAGAGCCAGGCCTAGATGGCACATAATGCAACAGATGAAGTCAGCCCATTACCCCTACCCTTGGAGTCATTTTGTAGAAAAAGAGGTGCAGGAGCTCATTAGCATAACTCATTTGCATAACTCATTTGCATATGCCACGCCCCCTGACATCACCGGAAGTGTGTCAGAAGGCAACACCAACTGCTCAGGCTCCACTGGACTGTTTTGGATTGCTAGCTGTTGGGGGGGGGGAAATGTGCAGATCTGCCCTCGCAGAGGAGAGAGAGCTTGTACCTGAAGGCGGGCGGCGGAGGCTCTGCAACTTACTTGGCTGCTTCTTGCTCCTCATGGCCCGACTGAGGGCTGCTGGGAGCAGGGGGCGGGGCTTGTTGCATGTGCCTGCCCCCTGGGCTCCTTACTACCGGAGCTCCGCTCCTGTGCGCTCCCGCAGGGAATGACCCCTGCCTACCCTCAATAAATACATCAGCATCAGTAAAGAAGTATTTCACTAAGGTTTGGTTATGACAGAAGAAGCGGCTGCCCTAAAAGTTCTCAAGACACATACACAAAGTAACACTTCTTGTTTGGTGAACTTCATATTGGTTCTGAGTCCTACAGTGGTTATTTTCAAATCAGGTGATGACGCACTCTGCGATTCTTAGACCTCAATGCAGTGGCAAGATTTGTGACTAACTAAAAACCAGTACTTTTTTTGTTGTTAAAAATAATCACACCATTTATATCATCTAAATTACGTTGAATACAAAAAAGAATATGTACAAAGGCAGGCTGACGTCTACTGACAGGAAAAAATGTTGAATTAATTTAAAACGCCGTACATGATAAATGGGAAACATATTTTGGCACCTGACTCTCAAGCACATTGTCAGTGTGACAAATATCAAAACAACTCCACAACATTAAAGTTCCAAATTCATCAAAGGTTCAAAGACAGCAACTTTCGCCTCTATTCATGTAAAACTAGGTGGTTGTTCAGGATCTCACACATAAACCAGTATCTAGGGGTTTACAAGATTATGCATGGGGTAGAGCAGGTAGAGAAAGAAGTCCTTTTCTCCCTTTCTCACAATACAAGAACTTGTGGGCACTCCATGAAATGGCTGAGCAGTCGGGTTAGAACAGATAAAAGGAAGTCCTTCTTCACCCAAAGAGTGATTAACACGTGGAATTCACTACCCCAGGAGGTGGTGGAGGCGGCTACAAGTGGGAATTGGATAAACATATGGAGCAAAAGTCTATCAGTGGCTATTAGCCCCAAGGTATAGACAGGAACTCTCAGTCTAGGGCAAGTGATGCACTGTATTCTTGGTGCTTGGGGGGGGGGGCAACAGTGGGAGGGCTCCTTGTGTCCTGGCCCCATTGCTGGACCTCCTGATGGCACCTGGTATTCTTGGCCACTATGTGACAGAGGGGAATTTCACATTACCCTTTTTTAAGCCATTATTGTACCGTCTTGGAGTCAACCGGTACAGGGCTGCCATTTCACAGAGCCTTTACCCTTCCGGTAAGGAGCCGTCTCTGAAGCGGTTTGACATTTCAGACTGCACCGCTTGGTTTTCCCGCTCTTTTCGCCTGCGCGGGCAATCTCTGTCCCCTTTTTTTTTTTTTTGAACGTTCGTTTTAGAGTGCTATAGTGGTATAGGACTCTAAAACAAACATTAAAAAAACAAAAAAAAGATCGGAGATCGCCCGCACAGGCGGAAAAGGGCAGGCCGCCTTACGTCACTTCTGGGTTTTCCATGCAAGTGAAGTAGCGATATCAGTGACACCACTCCCCCCCCCAAGCAGCTGTGGGCAAAGAGCAGTGCCAGTGGGAGACCTCCCATTGTAGTAGGAGGGCCGGCGACCCCTGTGGTATGGTTTGCAAGGTGATTACAGTAGAGAAGCTTCCAGGCCTTACCATGGCCCTCATGAACAGTATCAAGAACTTGGCCAGGCCTGGAGCTCAAAGTGACATAATTCAGGTCAGATCCAAACTGACCACAAGTCTCATTTTAAGAGAGTTCACACTGAATGGAGATGGGGGGATCTTACTGGCCTCCTGATGGCACCTGGTATTTTTGGCCACTGTGTGACAGTGCTGGACTGGATGGGCCACTGGCTTCTCTTACGTTCTTAAGACTTTACAGCACAGTTTCTTCCAAACCATCACCATTCATATGTTAGCGTCTTTGTCACATGTTTTGGTTGCATTCCTCCTTCAAGAGGATGAATAGAGGATTTCTCTTAAAATCAACTTTTAATAGAACTATAACGGCTTTATACCTTAACAAGTATAAGGCTTGCACTTGAAATTCCACAGGCATCCCACTTTGTCATTCTTGGCACAAACCAGAGAGCGAAAGAAGTCTTAATTCCACTGCACGCAAACAAAGCAAGCAAGTATATGTACAAATGCAGCACATAAAGGGAATTCTACAAGAGCTGTTTTCCTGCTAATTTTTCGTTTAATATCTCAGTAAAGTTTTCTTCCCAGTGATTTTACGGCACTCTAGATGACCAGATGTAAAGCATCTTCCACTTTGTCTGCCACTAGGTTCATTTTACAAGCCCTGAGGGCTTTTACTAAGTCCTCAGCCTTCGCTTCTCTTCCTTTCAATTTCTTCCATGCTAGAAGGGATTGCATCATCTGCTCCTCTAAGTTGTATGAATGGGCAGCCACAATTCGATCTATTTTGGCATCTGAAATCCCAAGTTTCCGAATTAGCATCTTCCAGTTTTTTCCAACATTGTCACATATGACTTCAAAAGCTCTCTCCACTTTACCTAGAAGAGAAATTATGGCTCACGTAAAACACTGATTCACAACAGTACATTTAAGTAACCTGCTGCCACGTACCAAAGGACACCCTTCCCACTTGTAGGTCTCTGAACAGCTTGTGGGTTCTTAAATCCTCATCTGACTGGAACGTGACTCCAGTCTGAGGGCTTCTGATATCTGCCACTCCCCAATTTCTTTCTTCACACCGCATTGGCTACGGAGTTTCTGGGCATTCACAATTAACTTGACCTCAACCTTAATTCCCTCCCACTGAAGAAAACAGTCAAAAGGAAGAAAAGCCAGGCAAGAAGAGAAGAGATTGGATTTATTCCCCGCCCTTCACTACCTGAAGGAGTCTCAGAGCGGCTTACAAACTCCTTTCCCTTCCCCTCCCCACAACAGACACCCTGTGAGGCTGAGAGAACTCTCTTGGGAACTGCCCTTGAGAGAACAGCTCTGAAAGAATTTATGACTGACCAACAGCTGCATGTGGAGGAGTGGGGAATCAAACCTGGTTCTCCCAGATTAGAGTCTGTGTTCCTAACCACTACACCAAGCCGGCCCCCACAGACTCTCCAAAAGCAGCTATTTTCACCAGGGAAATTATCTGTGTTGTTTGGAAAGCTGTAATATTTGGAGATCTTCAGACCTCACCTTTAGGTTGGCAACTCTATAAACACTTCACTGCCTGTTTCTATCATAGTTGTTCAAGGTACAACAATCCTTGACAACCCTTGAGATGACAGCGGGACCCTTTTTCATGGGCTCATTTTATTATTTATTTAAAACAGCAGCTTGATTCCCCTCGGGCCAAATCTGAATTGCTAGATCTACAGAGTGAATCCCCTGCCCAACAATTACATTGGCCGCTGTATCTAAACTAAGCTAACCAGTTTCCCTGTCTAGTTTTTCCTTTAACTGACACTCAGTTGCTGGTGTCAGCTTTCTAAAGTCAGTCACAAAATGCTTGAGAGGGAGAATGGGAGTATGGCGGTGTGGGTGGGTTAAGGGGAATCTGAAATTTGCCCCCCCCCCCACAAGTGTTTCATTGTGGAGGAGGAGGAGATTGGATTTATACCCCACCCGTCACTACCCGAAGGAGTGGTTTACAGTCCCTTTCCCTCCCCTCCCCACAAAAAATACACTGTGAAGCAGGTGGGGCTGAGAGCTCTCTCTCTCTCTCTCTCAAATGCCCTTGAGAGAACAGCTCTGAGAGAACTTGTGACTGACCCAAGGTCACACCAGCAGCTGCATGTGGAGAAGTGGGAAATCAAACCTGATTCTCCCATATTTATTTTATTTATTTATTTATTATGGGATTTGTATCCCGCCCTACCCATTTGGCTCAGGGCGGCATATTAGAGTCCATGAGGAGGAGGAGGAGAAGAAGGAGGAGGAGAGATTGGATTTATATCCCTGCCCTTCACCCGGAGTCTCAGAGCGGCTTACAATCTCCTTTCCCCTCCCCTCCCCTCCCCGCCCCACAACAGACACCCTCTGAGGTAGGTGGGGCTCTTTCGAGGACTGACCTTTCAAGGACAGCTGTTGTCAGAACTATGGCTTGCCCAAGGTCATCCAGCAGCTGCGAATGGAGGAGTGGGGAATCAAACCCAGTTCTCCCAGATTAGAGTCCGTGCACTTCACCACTACACCAAATTGGGCCACAGCTTTTGTTTAAACACTACTATAAGGTACTGAAAAGCTCCCTGGGGGACTTATCAGCATGCATCAGGGCCCCAGGAAATGGTCAGCAGAGGTCCACTCACACATTGGTGCTTTCTCGCTGCAGGCCCTGAAAAGCTGCTGGGGGGGGGTCAACGCAAACCAGGGGCCCCTCCCCCATCACATACACCTCACTCTCAACGCTGCCACACAAAAGCAACACCAGTCCACCTACGTTTTTCTGCAGTGTCTGGTTGCTCAGCGGGATCGCCTTCTCCAGCCTCTTCAAAGTGCTCTAGCTTAGTTACCAGATCTTCTCTCTTCAGACTTTTGAGCATCTCTCTTAAGAAGGCTACATCGCAGGGAGTAATTTCTTGCTGTTCTAGGAGAATGCTGAAGAGCTCGATGCCCTTCTTCACAGCTTGCAGCTTCCCTTTACCAATTTTTGACTGGCACAGGAATTTGAGATTGGAGAGCTCATCTGGAGAGAGGCTGCTCGAAAACGAATTCAGTAAAGCCAAAAACGGGTCCATCCTCCGAAATCTAGGGGAAGGGACAGTGCTTAGAAAGCTTACAGAAATAGACATTCAAGATGATTTTCCAAGTTTCTGTTTTCTTTAGCTGTGGTAGATTTTCTGGGTTTTCTGGCCGTGGTCTTGGCACTGTAGGACCTGATGTTTCACCAGTAGGTCTGACTGGCATCCTGAGAGGTATAACACAGAAAGATGGAGTACTCTCTGTGTCAAGGTGACTCCATCTTTCTGTGTTATACCTCTCAGGATGCCAGTCACAGGTACTGGCAAAACGTCAGGTCCTACAATGCTAAGACCAGGGCCACACAACCCGGAAAATCTACAACAGCTAATGAACTCCGGCCCTGAAAGCCTTCCGACAACATATTTCTTACAACAACACCCCCCCCCCCAATAAGGGGGGGGGGAAATCTAGCAAAAGCACTATTAAATTCCAGAACTATTTCCTCCAGCTAGGAATTAATACTTTAACTCGCAAGAAATCTTACTTCCAATTTCACAACGTGCCAAGGAGCTCATACGAACTAGTCGCCCCCGCCCGCCCAAACTTCAGACCAACTCTAAATAAGTTTTTGGGTTGAAGGCAAAAGTTGCAAGAAATCCTAAAAGAGCAAAGGACATTTAAAAGTTTTCAAAAACACACGACATAGTACTTCCTGATCTCAGCCGGCCAGCTAGGAACTTCTCCCGACCCGCCTCCCAAATGCTCCGCCTATGCACGAAAGCGACCCGTCTCTCGCCGGAAATCACATGCGAGACTTGACAAGAACTGCAGGGCGCTCTACCGGACAGCAGAGGGCAGTGTAATCCAACTTTTATAGTGAATGTCAAGAATAGCTGCAAAAGCGAAGTAGACATTCTCAAACAGTTAAGAGATAACGAGTTGGAAAATTTGAATATATTAATTCTTATACAGTTCCAAAATTTGATTTATAATTGTGTTCCTAAATTGCCCCAAGATTAGCTAAAAAAAGGCATACTTTGGGGGGTGGGTTTCCCTCCTGGTCATAAAATTTTAAATCCATATGTTGTTGTTTTTACCAGGCATCTCACCCTTTGTGAACCTGGGGAGGATCTGTTTATGATGCCCTTGTACAAACTATTATTGCTGGGAATAATATATTTTTAAAGCTCCCTGGTCTGTGGCTTCAGCCTATAAAGCAGAATGTGTTATTGATATGTTTACATTTCATGTTTGTATGTTTTGCATGTTCGTAAACTGAAATTTAAAAAAAAATGCACACACGAGCTTCAGAGCTTTGAGGGAACATTGGCTACATGATAGAAATGTGGTTGGTAGGTTGGCTGAAATTACAGACCTGAAGGCCTGTGATGTCACCAAAAGCATCTTCCCTAGACTTCCCAATTTATTATCAAACTTTGCTTTAGAGAACTGAACTGAAGACAAGAATACGGATTTCTTGCTCGAGTCATTTTAATTGTCAGGATCTTTGTTCAGAAGGTGTCTTTGTGAACCTGGGGGAAACTTGAGCCTCTAGTATCCCAAATGGCATGGTTTAGTCATGGCGCAGAGACATAAAAACTGCAGAGTATACTTAGAGAATTCAGATTATTTTATACCACCAGTGGTATTTGAAGGGATTTGAGTTTTTTTGCTGTTTATTATGGACAGGATGATACTGTACTACTTCGAAACTCAAACAATTAAACATTCAGCTGTGGATCTGGGTCAGCATTTAGTCTTAGCATGTTTGGTGGCACATCACCCTTTGTTGCAGAAACAAAGAATGCATTTTAGTAAATGATCTGATTTTGCAAATTCTCTGATCTTTATTTTCCACATAGACAAGATCAGCTCAATACATACTTGGCCCACTTACAAAGTCTAAATAATCTGAATTACAACATCGGCCTCGGTCTTCCACATTGCCATTTAAATGTATACAAGCACAAGACGGGTCTTTGCTTTGGAAGTCATAAGGATACTACCATAGACTAGAATATTGATCTTACTGGTAATCAGCGTGCACATCAGTTTCATTGTCAGAAACACTTTTAACTCTTGGTCATGTTCATAGGGAACGTTGTCCAGCTTCAATATTGTAGTATGGATTATCCTTCATATGTTCTTAAAGCAGGATGTACGCTGTACATGTATATACAACAGTTGGCTCAAGCACAGACATTGTGGTGTCGTGCTTTCATTCAAAACCGCAACGCCAGTATTTGTTCCATTACAATCACATGGCATCTGAATATGCAATGTATTGTTTTGCAAATGCAAATAGTTGTTGCAGACTGGTCTTCATGATGTAATGAAATGGCATATATTGCACATACTTAAAAAAAAATTAAGGTTTTTTATCATAAGTATACGGACCAGTATATGACATTGAAGAACAGGAAGGTAAATGGGAAAAGTGCTCTTGCATAAAGATCAATCCGTTTCGCAGCTGAGGGGATCACAGGTTTGGGAGGAGGAGGTTTCTTGTTATTCTTTGCCTGAGATTTCCCAAGCCCGTTGTTGACTTCAATGGGCTTTCCGTAACAGTCATAGTTGGACAGTTCAAAATCTCTTGGCAGACTTCCAACGATACTGAAGTCATGGGACCGCAGGTCCGATTTCGAAGTGCAGACTTTTTTGCATCGCGTCTCTCCAACCTACAAAACACGAGAGTTTCAGAAGTGATACAATGCTTAAGAATGTCATTTTGAAGCACTAGAGCCCTGCAGGGCCCGCGGGTTTTAACATCGAGCTGATTACAAGCAGAGACATCTGAGAACAGCAGGGCGGTGGAAATCTATTCTGACAATATGCTATCCAAGTTAATTTTTAACTGCCGACAGCACTTTGTTTGTATTGGTTTTATTTGCGGTGTTTTAAACTACTGTATGATTTTAATCTGTATTTATTTATGTTGTATGCAGTGTTCCCTCTAAGCTGAGTTAGTGTGAGCTAGCTCACAGTTCTTTAGCCTCCAGCTCACACGTTTTTGTCTTAGCTCAGAGAGGAGGGCTCCAGAGCAAACTAATCTATGCAGTAACCAAATCGCTCGCTCACAACTTTTAATGACAGTAGCTCACAAAGAAGAATTTGTGCTCACAAGACTCCACAGCTTAGAGGGAACGAAGCCGCCCTGGGCCTGCTTTGCGGGGAGGGCGGGGTATAAATTCGATAATAAATAATAAATAAAAAATAGATACCTCTCCGATAATGCACACACAAATTCTCTGTCATTGGTTTTGCAAGGATTGCTGCTTAACCAGACTACTTAAGGCTGCGGTCACACGGAGCAGTAGCCACGCTACTGAGACGGATGATAGGCAGATTTTCTGGGTGCGATCACACCGCAACATCTGGGAAGCGTAGAGCTCCCATGGTGAACCCGAGGCTTCCCTCCGAAGATGTGCAGTTAAAAACTAGTACCTCCGAGGTACTAGTTTCCGGTAACCGCGGGGCAAGGGCGGGTGTCTGATCGTGTTTCCGGTGGCATCCGGCACCCACCCATGTTCCCTCGCAAAAAGGTGTGTCCACCCCACCCCTGGGTTCCCTTCCCAGCAGCGCTGTTCTCTTCTAGCGCAATTCAGATGAAGAGGAAAGAAGAGCAGAGGAACGCCGGCATCACCTCCTGGGCAAGGCACGAGTGCCGGGGCCGAGGGGGGGGCGTGCCGCCGCCGTGGGGACTCAAGGGAAAGACCATGGAGCAGGCTTTTCATGGGTGGGGGTGGGGTACGACATGCAAAAAGGTTTTTTTTCAAGTCTCCACGGGATGCGCACAAGCACCCAACGGCGCATGCGCACACTTCAGTTTAAAACCAAAACACAGCCTCGTTTGCCGCGCCGCTTCTTTGCCGCATTGTGTGATCGGCACCTCCCCCCTAACCATGGGACCTCGACGGGACCATGAGGGGACGTCTGATCGCGCAACCGTGCGTTATTTTGCACCGGGGCAAACAGCCACGCTTCCCCCCCACATTTTCCTGCCTGTGTGACCGGGGCCAGTGTATGGTTAGACAGTTGTGTCATGGTGAGTCCATTCCAGAATGAGGTAATAATCTGAGTCACCAGGTATGGGGGTAGCACACAATTCTTCTAGGGTAGGTCTACAAGAGGTAACCTGTAAGCGGCCTGAGAACACAAAGCTCCCAGGTGAAGACGTTCAAGGTTCCCAACCAGGTCTGGGTCTTACTGAAACTGCGCATTTTGATGTAAGACTTGTTTGGATTTCCCTTTAAATGAAATGGGTGACAACCAGAAATATGTGAAACACTTTCATACCAAATTAGGCGGTATTAGTTGAACTCGTTTTGCTTCCTTCAAAAGTCCTCAAATGTTTTGCTGGGGCTCCTTATCACGGGATGATCTCACACATGCCCAAATTATCCAGCCACGTATACAGGGGTCATTGTGTGGGACCCCCTCCAATGGAATCAGCCTCTTCTTCTCCCAGTGAGAAGTTGGTTTATTGGGTGTGCATTCAGTCCTACTTATCTGATTCAGTCATGTAGTTTCAGACTGCAGTTGCATAGGATCTGCTCATGGATAAGAAGTTAACCTATCAGCATAACGAGACAAACAATCCACAAGAATAACACACAATCCCAAGACAGTCTGGTATGAAAAAATATATACAGATGTGTGCTAGATGCCCACAGAATAATACAATGGCAAAAGAGACTAGATTAGTGTCTGTTTTTTGTGAATCTGTTATTTAGTGTTCTTTAACATTGCCAGATAGTACATAATTTTTAAAATAAGAGAAGGACACCTTTTGCCTTCATTATAGGCTTCCGAAACACAGCTGCATCTAATTAAGAACATATTTACATTCCTAGAAGGACGGAGGTACTGATGCACAGTCTGGGTCCATTTGACCCTTAACAGTTGCTCACTGCTTTTAATTTAAGGAATATTTCATTGGGAACATTTGGCTATCTCAGGAGAATATATAGTTAACCAGAGAGAAGTACTACTGGACATGTGATTGCACTGGAGGTTTCATTTGTATTTTTGCCCAGTGGTTAAACTTTGGAACAATTGTTTTCTGGTCTTTATTTCATATTTTGTATATGTTTGATTGTATATATTTTTACATGTTAGCCAGTATGTCCTATTTGCATTAGACCTCTGAGGAAGGCCTGTGAAGGCCGAAACGCGTTAGGTCTATTTCATCAGCCTTTGTATTTTTATATTTGTATATGAGGTATGAATGGGCCCTTATTTGTTATTTTGATTTGTGTTTAATAAATACATGTATATTTTTGTATGTTTTATAATTAGATTTTTAGACTTGGCCCTTTTCTATTCTTGACTAACCTTTTTAAGTTCTGAATTCTAGGTTTTGGATTCAGTTTTTTTCCCCTTTTCCCTTTTTTGTCCTTATTGTGTGTTACCCAGAACATTGGTAGGGGCTCATGGTCACACTGAATTTATTTATTTTCATTACATTTATACCCCGCCCTTCCCGCGAACGGGCTCCTGCGAATGAGTTAACAACAACTGGCTGAGGACCACGTTTGTGTACCTGTTTTGGGTGTCAGCACTGGGTTGTGGGTAGCCAAGAGTACACATGGCTGGAGGGACAAGTCCCAACACAAGGGGACAGAATTACAA